CATGTGTCCCTAGGGGCACTGAGGTGGTGGCAGGTCCAAGGTCTCCCCACTGTGCAGGTCTGGTGCAGGCACTGTGCAAACCTGACTCCAGGGATTCCCAGGATCTGCTCCTGATGGTCTGGTAGCCATAGGAGAAGTGGGTGCTCAGAGAAAGGAACACCTGAGAGCTGAAGCAGAATGTGTGTGCTCCATGTCAGATGCCCATCTAACAAGCTGCATTAGCAAGTTATAAACAACTTAATAAAACAGAAACTGAAACACTGGCTAATTATCAGACTTAAGCTCAGTAGTAGAGTGCTTCCATAGTATGTTGTAGTCCCTGGGTTTGATCCTCAGCACCGCATGAAAATAAATAATAAAATAAAGATGTTGTGTCCAGCTACAACTAAAAATAAATTATCTTAAAAATATTATATTTAAATTGAAAGTTACTAAAGTAGGAATGTGGAAGCACATTTACTAGAATATCTAGGTTGAAATTTAAGCACGAAAACAGAATTGCCCACCACTTTAGAAGAACCTTCCTGCCATTCCACAGTGGGCTGGGTTCAGAGAGTGACCAGGTAGAATGAGGACGGACCAGGTAAATCAAGGTGTGTATGTGGATTGTGGCACCAAGAAATTATTATCAGGAGGCAGAGGTCATCCTAAGGGAACTTCTGGTCAGGAGAAGAGAGGATCCCTGTGGTCCACCAAGTTGAAAACCACCTCACCCCACGTGGCTGTGAAGAAGTCAGACTCTGGAAACATCTGCATCACACACCAACAGCCCCGTGCAGGGCAGGGGTAGGGCCTCACCACTGAGCAGCAGAAGAGGTTCACACCTGCACATGCTGGGGAGAGTGCCCGAGAGGACACTGCAGCTCCTGAGCAGAAGCTCTCCCTCATCTGCCCCCAGGACAGTCCAAATCCACACCCATGAGATTCCTCCCAGGGTGGGATTGCTCAGAGCACCAGGAAAACCTGACAGAGAGGTGCTGGTGGAGGCAGGGCCTGGAGCTGGGGGGAGCTGTGGGAGGGCAGAGTGCACTGCACCTCTCCTCCATGGGTGACCTTCACTCAGGCCTGGGAGCTGACCTCCTGGGCACTTGCTGTGGAGGAGAAAGACCCCAGGCTCACAGGACATCCTGCAGATGGCAGCCACCTGTGTGTCCTAAGAAGAAGCAGCCCACAGCCCTTCACTGTGGAAAGGACAGGTGGACTTGGAAATCCCATAGAGGAGCACATGTCAGCAAGAAAACCAACCAGGGACACCTGACTGTAGGGACCCCAGGGCCCTGGGAGTTCCCAGCTCCATGCCACAGGCCCTCACCTGGGCCTCACACTCACTCTGGTGACAGGACCTGAACTGGAGCTGGCTCTCCAGACAGGCCCAGGTGAGAAGCTCCACAACATAAAAACAGAAGGTCCTCTGCTCAGCAGTGCTCTCCTGAGGGACCTGGGCCCAGCTGGACCCCAGGGGAAGCTCACTGAGGGGGTCTGACATGGGCCACCACCTGGA